TTATCTGTGCACTAATATTTGCTATTTTTATTGAATAAAACTTTTGATTTCGTTCTAGTAAACACTGTATCTATAAATATACAGTATGCACTATAATTAATTAATAAAAATATATATATAATATATTAATACAAATTAATATAATCACCTAAAACTTCAAAAGTAGAATTAGAATAAAACATTGGATCCTTAAAATAAAATAATTATTTTGTGAAATCAAAAGGCAAGTACTGATTCCAAGGGTGAAAGTCTACATAATTTTCTTTATTATTAAAAAGCATATTTCTTTATTATATATAAAATAAAATTCAAATCAATTTCTTTTTTTTTCTTTTCTAAAGTAAATGGAAGATACTTTTAATAATATGATAATCATATTATTCGATTACAATATAAAGCATATGAAGCAACATCAGAAACAAATTTTAACAGAAATGGTGATGTTATAAGCTTTGAAATAGAAGGTTCTGATAATTTTCTTAATATTAAACATGCAAAATATATCATTGGTGGAAAATACTTAAAACAAGATGATAATGAATATGAAGCTTACAGTAGTGTGAAGTTAGATGACAATTTTGTTGCATTTTTATTCTCTCAAAATTGAAGTGACAAAAAATGGAACATTAATAGATCAAATTGAGAATGTTGGTAGAGAAAGTATAATCAAAGGATGTGTTCATTTTTCTTTAGATCATAATGGTCCATCAATTAATTCAGGATTTCAATCAAGATTTAAAGGTGGAGGTGTATTCGAAGCTTTTGGGAATTTATCTAATCTATGTTTAGGTTCCTTTAAAGATATTCAACAATCAGTTTTCAAATGAGGAATTAAGAGAAATTTTAAGAGAGCAAAAGATGATGGTACATTGTACAGATGAGCTTCTACAACCACAGCAATACCAGTTATTGAAAAAGTTATCATTAAGGATTTTAAGATTATGATTTCAACAGTGGAATATCAAGAAATGTATTATGAAATGTGTAAAAGAATTAGTAAAATATTTAGGACAAAATAATCTTAAATTTACATCTAAAAAGAACTTCCTCTGATGTATCTCATACCTAATGATTTTAAAAATGCAAGACCAATGTATGTATTAAATCTTACTAGACAACCTGATAATGTTAGTGGAAATAGAAATAGTATTATTTTGAATGTAGAATTTAATGAAGATGTACCAAATTGTACAATTTGCTGTATTTGTTTAGTTTTATTTTCTGAATTTACATATGTTACTATCTAAAATACAATTAGAAAAACCATCTAAAACTATACAAATATTTTTAATAGAAAAATTCTATAAAGAAAGATAAATGTGATTTATTGTGTTAAGAAATGTGGACAAGGAATTTTTAGAACCAATTCATTGCCATAAATGTAAAAAGAAAACAAATAGTTTTAAACCAATCGAGGTTCAAACAACAAATAAGCTTTGGAGAATTTCAACAGAATGTCTAAAATGTAAAACAAAAAAAAGTAAATTTATTAAAGCTCCCGCAGAGAAAAAATAGAAAATAAAATATTATTAGAAAAAAAATGGCAGAACAACGTAAACTAAGTATTGCAAAAGAACTTCATAAACCAGTAATATCTCGATTTTCAAAAAAAAAAAAAAACACGGTATTGATGATTTGTGAGCTGCAGATTTAGTTATAATGAGAAATTATGGTGACGAAAATTCAAGTTATTTATAAATGTTGAGTGTTATAGATACTTTTTCAAAATTTGTTTGGTCTGAATCTCTTAAGAAAAAAGATGGAAAAATATTACTAAAGGTTTTGAAGAAATAATAAAAAGAGCTAAGCGACAGAAACACAATTCACCAACACTACTTCATACTGATAAAGGAACAGAGTTTGCAAATAAATAGTTTAAGGAAATATTAACAAAATATAATATACAATTTTGTTTGTCTTTTTTATATTAAACCTCGGCGACTATGGCCATTGGCATACGAAAGGTTTAACAGGTTAAACATATACAGGTTAATGATTATAAACTATTGATTATATTAATCTTGATAATAAAGGTGATCATGGGATTTATGTTGTCTGGGTGAAGCGCTTCTGCCATAATGTTTGATACCCCAGCTTCCTGTCTGTCCATTTCAAATGAACGGCATTCAGATACAATGTGCTTGATTGAGAGGAGTGTACTGCACCTAGCACATATGGATGGGTCTTCTTTCTTCATCAGATACTGGTGGGTTAGCGACGTGTGTCCAATTCGCATTCTATTGATTGATGTTTTCATTTTCCTTGAGAGGTCCGGTGGGGAGGGCCATGCGAGGATAGTATTTTTGATTTCGTTAATTTTGAGGAGCCTTGTTTCCATTCTCGTAGCCAAAAGTTGATCGAGATTATTTTTGATATGGATTTAGCGTCGTGTAGGGTAAAACAGTTGAGTATGATAGCATCAGAGGAGGTTATTGCTTGGCGTGCTTTTTCGTCAGCTCTTTCGTTTCCCGAAATTTGGATGTGACTAGGGATCCATATCAAGGTGATTGAATAGCTGGAATGAGTAAAGTCGATGAGTTGATTTTGGATTTTTCTGGCGATTTCATTTGGGGTGGAGAGGTTTTCGATGCTCCTCAGGGTACTTAGTGAGTCGCTTAGGATTACTGCTTTGAGTATTCGTTTTCTTTTGATGAGGTCCAAAGCATATGAAATTTCCACTGCCTCAACTGTGTATATGGAGCAGAAATTTTGCAGTCTCAGCAATACTACCACTGCACCTACCCCGTTTTCCATTTTGGAGCCGTCCGTGTATATTTCGGTATAATTGTGAAAATCGGAAATAATTGCATGTAGATGTTGGTTGTAAATTATTGGTATAGTGATAGGATAAGTGCTTTATATATTTGCAATAGACTCAAGGAGTGACTTCCCCACGATTTGTGAGCCAGACATAATAGGGTATTCATTCTTATAAGAGAGTCCATTTCGGATGGTCTTAAGATGGGGTATATACGTGTTTCTTGAGTCGAACAGTATGCCTAATATTTTTATGGACTTCCTAATTGATATAGGGATATTGTTCATTGTTATGCTGGTGTTACCGATATTTCTTTTATTAGTGAAAATAATGAACTGGGATTTTTCAGCTGAGAACGAGAAGCCCGAGGCATATGTCCAAGCTTGTAATGCTAAAATTGCTTCCAGCAGATGTTTTTTGGTTCTATTTGAATTGGTGCCTCTACAAAAAATATTAAAGTCGTCAGCAAAAAGTGTGCACTTAACCGGGGGTTGTATAAATAGTGGTATATCATTAATAGCTAAAAAAAATAACGAGACCGATAGTGTAGATCCTTGGGGTACGCCGTTATTTTAACATATATTTTTGACAGTTTGTCGTTGCACTTCACTTGGAAAGTTCTCTCGGTAAGGAAATTCTTTATAAAGTTAAATAAATTACCGTTACAGATAATTTTTAACAATATTTTTAGAATACGAGGACACCATGTAATATCATACGCTTTTGATATGTCGAGGGATACGAGGCCCATCAAATGTTTTTCTTCAAGAGTTGAATATATTTCCTGTTGGATGTCATGTAATGTATTAGTAGTACTTCTATCTCTCCGGAAACCGTTCCGACGGGAGTCCAAAATATTGTTTTTTTTCAGGAACCATCTGAGTCTGGAATCTATAATTTTTTCCACTATATTTGCCATGGTATTCAGGAATAATATTGGTCTGTATGATTTAACTTCAAATTTGTTTTTTTTCCGGTTTGAGTATTGGAATGATTATGGAGTGCTTCCAATTTTGTGGTATGCGTCCGGATACCCATATTTTGTTAAATACATTAATAATTTCATCTAAGGCAGAAATAGGGAGGTTATGTATAAATTTATACGGTATCCCATCTGGTCCAGGGGCAACACTAGTGCATTTAAATAAAACTCTATAGTTGAGTTTTGTCTGTTTATTTAACCAAGGGTTTATGTTGAATATAAAATGTTGTTTCCTCATATGTATATTATTTTCAAGAAAGGTTGTGTTGTAGTTTTGATCCGAACTATTGTGGCAGAAGAAAGCTTCTAAGAGATTGGATATTTCATCGGGATCACTGCATAATTTGTATCTTTCATGATATATATGAGATGGTGTTTGAAGTGGCCATGGAGTGACCTGACTCTGCACCATATCAGAGACGGGTCAGCCTTAGGCCCTTAACTGGAAGAAAAAGTTTTCCAAGAGTCAGTCTTACTTCTTTTAACTAGGTATCGAGTTTTAGCTCTGAGCTGTTTAAGTTTAATTAGGTCGGAAAGCGTTTTGAGTGTTTTGTTCTTTTGTTTGATTGAGTCTCTTATTACATCATTCCACCAAGGGACTTGGTTTTTTTAACAGTTGTTGAAGTTTTTCCTATTGAGATTTCAGCAGCTCTGATAATGGACTCAGAGATGAAGGTGGTGTCATCCTCAATTGTGCTGATATCAGAATGGGGATTTTCTTGCATGAATGTGTCAGCTAGAGTAGAAAATAGTTCCCAGTCTGGGTTTTTTAACTTCCATCTGTGTGTGGAAAAGGATGACATTGTTTTGGTGGATAGTAAAGTAATTAAAATAGGTAAGTAGTCACTGTCATATATCTCACGTAGAACTGACCAGGATATTCTTTGGGCAAGCGACACGCTTAAAAGGGAAAGGTCAATTATAGAAAAATGACAATTTGATGGATTAAGTCTAATTGGTTCGCCGTTGTTGAGCAGTGTGATTGTATCATTATAAAGGATTTTTTCCATTGATTTTCCTCAGGCATCCGTTGAATCTGACTCCCAATAATCGCTGTGGCTATTAAAGTCCCCAAGTAAAATAAATGGTTTGGGGAGTTGCTTGATGATGTTGTCTATATCAGAGGTAACAAAAGATGTTTAGTTTGGGATGTATACATTACACATTGAAATTTTTGATTCTAGTGTTATCTGAACCGCGATAACTTCTATATGAGAATGGATTGGAATCTGTTTGCTGGGGTAGTCGATGTGTATTAGAGGCGCGACGCTGCCGCTATCCCGAATACAGTTTAGACGATTGGTGTGAATGATTTTGTAGTTTTTAGTACTTGGGTTGATAAGACGGTGATATGGTATTTCTATGTTGTTTATAGTAATAAAAGGTTGTTTTGTGATGATTTGTTTGACGATGTTTATGCTTGAAAAGTATATGCAGAACCTATTGTTCGAAAGTTGAGAAAAACGTTTGATGTCAAATTTAATTCTAATTGGACTTGTCGCCGCCACGATGGATTTTAATTAGAATGTGCGGGCCGGTTTTGACGGTCAAGACCGCTATTAATTGGCAATTATCTGCCAGTCACGCGCACACGCNCTACCACGTATATGTATAATTTTAGTAAGTTTATGTTCTGTAATTGTGTTATTATTATTTTTATGTCTTATCTTTTTGTGTAATTATGTGAATAATACGCAACTTTCGCTCATATCGTACTTGTTCCGGCTGCCCGTTCGACACACACACGGTTCGCGAATTTTACGTTCCGGTAAAAAGTTTTTGTTGTTTTTGCGTGCCATATCGAAAAAGTGGCTCCGACGATGGCCTGACTCTAGGCTCCTAGGACAAGGGCTAGCAAATCCGTAGCAAATAATACGTGCCTACGTCTAACAACCGTATTAATTCGGAAACGTCTCGTCCGTAACATTAGCGACACACCGTCAATTACCATTAGCGTTACCATTTTGTCGTCTTGTGTAGTATGTTATATTGTAAATTATAATCTGTGAGTTGTTTTTCCGTTAATATTAGGTAAATATAGGTTTAGTCGGCGGCTGGCCAGTCTACACTTCATTGTCCGTGAGTAAATTATTTATTATTGTTTCTTGTTATATTACACTGTTGTATATATATTTTTGTGTTATATCTTATATATAAAATTATCGTGTCACAATGTTCGTTCCCATACTTCTCCGAGACGGCTTGATCGATTCTCATGAAGTTTTATATGCATATTCAGTAGGTCTGAGAATCGGCTACTATCTAAGTTTGTATGCTCTGCGATAAGTGGTTNTTGTTATATTACACTGTTGTATATATATTTTTGTGTTATATCATATTATACAATTTATCAATTTATTTTCATACCGGTCTATTACCCACTAACTAACTATTCTATTAGATGTGTGAATTTTTTACTATTTATTATTCTAAATTATTAAATTATTATTAATAAAAAGAGTGTAATTACCAATATTTTTGTAATCACTTTGTACCATTTTTCCTAATATTAAGTTACACGCACACACACAAATACACGATCTTGGACGGTGGGGAAAGCGCGCGAAGAATCTAGTGTCCGGGCTACGCGAAATATTTAAGTCTTTTAAGTCTAGCTCCCGGCCCACACAGGACTAATTAGACTTAACTTAGAGAAATGTTTATTGTTACAGAGATAATGAACACAAATCAAATTACTTATAAAATTAAAGATTTAAATAATGAAACTATTGAAGAAAGTTTCTATAATGGAGAATTACAGAAAACAAAATTTTGAAATTTAAATATTTTAAATATTTAAATAAATCTAAATTAAATAGAACTTAAAAGAATCTTTTTAATAATAATAACAGAACTGGTATTAAACAATGTATTTTTCATCATGTAATCTGTTTAAAATCCTTAAAAATTCCTTTCCAGCATAATCTTTTAAAAATATTTTATTTACTCTATAAATTATTTTTGAATGCTGTTTCTTTAAATTTACAATTAAAGTTTGTTTATATAATTGAGATAAATTAATATATTCATCTGAACATTTATATTTTTCAATAATATCAGCATAATAATCCTCATTGATTTTTTGAATTTGAAAGTCTGTTTATTAAATCAGTAGGATTTGGGTTAGTTTTTAATCTATTGTAACCTCATATGTTTTACTATATAAATTCTTTCTATTTTTTTTTTATATTTATTTTGTTCTCTTAAAAACATAGAAAAATTATCCTTATCTTTATCTTTAAATAAAATATATTGGTATTTAAATTATGAAGTCTTAGGATCAATATTTTTATCAGGAAGTACTTAATCTAATTCATTATTTACATCTTCCAATTCTTCTTGAATTTTACCTAATTGATCCTGTGTTTCATTTAATGTTATTCCCATTAAATCGAGTCTTTTAAGAGCAAGTTGTTGATATAATTATTATTTTGTTTTATTAGTATATCTATTTTATCATTTTTCCCTAATTGAATCTTTGTATTTCCTTTCAGAATAACTAATTGGTCTAATAATTCTTGTACAGATGCAATATTTTTTACATCAAAATTTTTTATAATATCTTGAAAATCTTAAAGTATACCTAAATTATTACATTTTCCCCAAATAGTTAGAGCATATTAAAGATGAGATTGTATATATATATTGCATAATATAAAATTTTTTTAAAACTACAATCTATTGTGACAGTAAGTGGGGACAATGATTTTTCAATTTAGAAATAAATTTTTTAATTTGAATACTCCAACCGAGTTCTTGATCAATTATACATCCTAGATATTTATAACAATCTACCATAGATATTGAAGAACAATCACAATTTTTTTTATTTTTACAAAGATAATTATGAATTATTAACTTATTATTTTTTTCGACTTTTGTGGAAAAATCTATGTACTGTATTTTGGAAATATTTAGGGATAATTTATTTTCTATTAATCAATTCTTAACTTTAAAAACATGATTATTAGCATTTGCATACAATTCTTCTGAACTATCTCCGTCTAATATTAGATCTGTATCGTCTGCAAACAGCACCAAATTTCAACTTATTTTAATATTTGTTAGATTATTGATATATATAATTAATAATAATGGACCGAGACATGTTTCTTGTTGAACATCACTATTAATTTATTTTTTTTCAGATTTTGTTTTACCAATTTTTGTACAGCATTTTTGGTTTTAAACAAATCTTGTGCGATTCCTCTTATACCTATGTTTTCTAATTTTGATAATAAAATATCATGATCTATTGTATCAAAAGTTTTTTTTAAATCCAAGAAAACAACAAGTTTATATTTTTTATCAGTTATAATATGAGAGATTAATTTAGATATTGCGTCTTCTGTACTTCTCCATTCTCGAAAACTAAATTGTGAATTAGATAGTATATTATTTTTAATTAAAAATTAATAACTCGTGTATAAATACGTTTTTCAAAAATTTTAGCAATATTAGATATTAAAAAAATCAGATAATTATTTGGATCAAATTCACTTCCATTATTTTTATATATAGATACAATATCAGCATGCTTAAATTCATTCGGAACATAATTTTTTCAATAAATAAATTTAAAATATTAGACAATAGAACAGCAACTAATTTTTTAACAGATTTTAGAAATTTTAGGGATTTTAAAAAAGTGATTTTATCAATGATAAACCAGGAGCAACATTATTTTTTAACGAATTAATTTTAAGAACTATTTCATCTGATATAACAGGTTCGAAATAAAAAGACGAATTAATATAAGAATTTGTATTTCTCTTTCAAATTCTACATTATGTATTTTAGACGCATTTTCCTTTATTTACAAAATGTTCATTAAGTAAATTACAATCAATTCCAGTAGGAATTTTTTTCTTATTAATTTTTAGATATTTCCGAAGAAATTTCCATTGCTCTTTCGAACGGTTTTTAATATATCAGCATCCGATTCCGGTAGACAGAATATTGTAACATTATAGATAAAAGTTGATGATATATTTATTTTGTGCGTTTTAAAAACTAATTATGAGTGGTCCTTATTCGGTATTATACATTTTTTTCGAAAAGCTATATTTCAAGTATAAGGTTGCGATATCAAAATACAATTTTTTTTTTTTTTTCTTAAACTAATTATGTTTTTTTGAGTTTTAAGCTTACCAAAGTTTTCAAAACCGACAGCGAAATGTCGATTCAATTTTTTCAACATCTCAATATCAAATTTAGTTTTCAACATCTCAATTCCAAATCAATTTTCACCATCTTAATTCCAAATCAATTTTTCAACGTCGAAATATCAAATCAATTTTCAGTATCAATTTGGGGATCATGGACTAAATTTTTATTTTTATTTTATATAATTTTTTTAATAGTTTTGTTAAATGTTTCCGGTATAGTTTAATATTAATTGAGAAAAAATAGGGTAAAAATTATTGTTAAAACTATAATAAATATCAACTGCGCCAGAACATACATTCACATACTACTGTTGACAAAGCATTACTATCAGAAGAACTTCGCTCAGAATCGTTTTATTGTGAGCAATGGTTTATCGTTGCTTACTGGTGTACATTAAATTATCTATAACAGTGGTTGCACCCATCCCCATTATCCTAGGACGTCGTTTGATTCTGATTTATAAATAAATGATAAACGATAGGTATAGTTATAAATTATATTTCACGTCATTGTATTTCCATCATGATAACTAATACAGTACATCGAACTCATCAATGAGAGGCTATGCGCTTAGAGTTCGTACAAATTCTTTAGAAAGACAAAAATTAAAAACAATTTTTATTTATCATTTGTTCGGAAATTAAATTAGATTAGACAAGTATTTAAAAAAAGAACGTCCTGAGATAATGGAGACGGGCACAGTTACTATTATAGGTAATATAATGTATTTTAATTAACTAACGTTTAATAAAACGCACACCCATTAGTTGTGAGGAAATTATGTTACATCTTAATAAAATCAAATCAAAAACTATAATTCTTTTTATGAAAATTAATTACC